AAGTGGAGAGAGCCAGCCGGATCGCTGATGCCTCCTTCTCCCAAATCCCCCAGTTTCGTTCAGCGTCAGAAAACTTTTTAGACACAAATGCGAGGGGGTGTAAACGACCATCTTCCCCTTCTTGCAAAATAGCGGCCCCCATTGCCACATCCGAGGCATCAGTTTGGACAATGAATTTTTTAGTTTCATCAGGGCGCGCCAGCACTGGCTCAGAGGTGAACATCAGTTTAAGTTTCTCAAAAGCCTCTGCGCAAGCAGGGGACCATTTAAGCGGGGCGCCTGGTTTCGTAGCATCAAAACCCTTCCCCTTGGTCTTTAGCAAATCAGTCAGAGGAAGGGCAATTTGAGCGAAATTCTGGATGAAATTTCTGTAAAAATTGGCAAATCCGAGGAACATTTGCAATTGTTTGCGGGTCCTGGGGGGTTCCCAGTCAAGTACAGCCTGTATTTTAGCAGGGTCCATTTCCACCTTCCCCCCAGAGATGCGATAACCCAAAAAGTCAATGCATGTCTTGTGGAATTCACATTTTGACAGCTTTGCAAACAGGTGGTGTTCATAAAGTCGCTTAAGGACCTGGCGCACCAATTTAATATGCGACGGGAGGTCCTGAGAGTACAGCAACACGTCATCAAGGTAAAGGACCACTCCTTTGAACAAGAACTCATGTAGGACCTCATTGATTAGGTTCATGAAGACCCCCGGAGCCCCTTGAAGCCCGAAGGGCATAACGAGGTACTCAAACTGCCCCAAAGGGGTATTAAATGCAGTCTTACTTTCATCCCCCTCCCGAATGCGCACACGGAAATATGCATCTCGGAGGTCAAGTTTCGAGAAGATTTTGCCCTTGGTGGCCTCAGCTACCAAGTCCTTGATTAGCGGGAGGGGGTAGGCATTGGACAAAGAAACAGCGTTCAGACCCCTATAATCAGTGCACAATCTAAGCCCCCCGTCTTTCTTCTTTCGGAAAAGTACAGGCGCGGCGAAAGGGGAGGAAGCCGGGCGAATGAAACCCCGGGCTAGATTTTTATCAATAAAGTTCCGCAGTTCAACTTTCTCAGCCGGCCCCATCGCATAGATTTTACCTTTAGGTAATTTACAGTCAGGCAAAAGTTCAATAGCACAGTCAGTAGAGCGATGGGGGGGCAATTCGTTAGCTTCATCTTCGCCAAACACTTTCGCCAAGTCTCTATACTCTCGAGGCAAAGAAGCTAACTCTTCCGGCTGCAAAGCGCCGCAGGGGAACTGTGCGGTCGGCTGGTCCCCCCACGAGTCCAACCAGCAGTGATCTACACATTTAGCCGACACAAATTTGACAACCCCTTCTTCCCACAAGATGTAAGGGTCATGGGTAAACAACCAGGGACTCCCCAGTACTAAGTCAAACTGCGATTTAGGGGTAACAATGAAGGATCTGGATTCCCAATGATCGCCAGCCCCCAACCGCAAAGCCATAGTCTCGTGTGTACAAGGTTCCATGGGTGCCCCATCCATTTGGGTAAAAATGATGGGAGACTTCAAGGGGACTATCCCCGCTTCCAGTGCCAATAACACTCTAGGGCTGATGAGATCCCTCCCACACCCAGAATCAATCAACGCTCTCACCCTAACGTGGGTCCCCAGGAGCGGATTCATTAACGAGACAGTCACGAAAAACAGGGAAGGGGTTTCTCTCACCACCTTGGGCGCAGAGCTAGAATGGCCGTGTCGTTTTGCGCCTCTCACAACAGGCCGTTGTCGTTTTCCGCCGTTTCAGCCACCACCTCCTCTTCTGACTCGGCAGCAGACGGTTCGATTCCCTCCAGGCCTTGGGCCGCCTGCAGAGCTTTGGAGAAACGCGGTTTAGCCATCCCCTTCTTCCCCGTCAGCGGTGTCTTCGGGCTTGGAGTAGGCGGCTTGTCTTTTACCTGACGGCTGCCACAATCCACAGCGAAATGCCCCTTCTCCCCGCACTTGAGACAGAGCCCCATCTTCATACGTAGTTCTCGTGCCGATTCCGACAGGCGTTGAGTCTTGGGTCTGGAGGCACTGGCAGCGGCGGGTCTGTTGGTCGTAGCAGCCAAGTCGAGTTTGATGGTGGTGAGCCGATCCTCTGCATTTTCAGCTTCCTGGGTCCAGGCCATCAGGGAGACAGGATTGACAGTCTTCAGAACCGTTTCTCGGATGTCTGCGTTGAGTCCCAATCGATACATCTCAGCCAATATATGATCAGGGTAGTCTCGGAGCTTTGCTGCCTGCTTGTGGAATTCCAGTGTGTACTCGCGAACCGACTTCTTATTCTGGCGGTAGGTGCGGAGAAACGCTTTAGCTCTTTGGCTCGCGTTGACATCTTCAAACCTCGCCCGCAGCGCCCACATGAATGCTCGCAAATTCAAAAGTTCCGGACCGCGGTCATTGTGCAGTCCAACATACCATGTGGCGGCGTCTCCTTTTAGTCTTGCCGAGATGACATCAATAAGACCAGCTTCATTTCGGAACAGGTGTCGGCTCTCTTCTACGAATTTATGCACTCTCACCGTGAAGAAAGCGAGTTCATCTGGGTTGCCGTCAAAGGTAGCCTCCAGTAGATCTTTGGGTCTGGGCCATGGAGGCCGTACCAACGGTCCCAGCTGACCCGGAACTCCCCTGAGAGGGAGACCCGGACCAACCGGTGGCCCCGCTGGCATTGGCCTCATCGGTGGCGGCAGACCCGGCACCGGCGGACCCCCCGGCATCGGCTGTTGCACAGGCCCTTGCTGAGGCGGTCCCGCCGGCGGCTGGACAGGCACCTGCGGCGCGGGAACTCCCGGTACTTGCAGCGGAGGTCCCGTCGGCGGCTGAGCAGGCACCTGCGGTGCGGGAACTCCCGGTGCAGGGACAACTTGTTGCTGCGCGGCGTGTGCGTCAAGGAAATTAGCCATTCTAACGTCCATCATTCCCGGCAGAGCTTCCATTACATCCTGGAATGTCCTCAACAAGTCCCTCACCGAGTATTCCAGTTCTGCCAGTCGTTCCCCGGTGGTTTCCTCCGGGATGGGGTCCCGAGGTCGATAGTCCGGGGGTGGGTCATAGTCCTCTTCCGTTTGGAAGGCTCCGGTGCCCTCCTCATCCTCTGCGTGGCCTCGCGGCCCCGATGGCTCGAACATCCACTCCTCGAGGTCTTGCTTGGAACTCCCCTTCTCCGAGGTAGTCCCCGGCTCCGGGAACAATCCCTTGTCAAACAGACTCTCACGTAATCCGCTCCCCCGACGGGAGTACACCTCTCGGGTGCCCTGAGTGTTGTACATAGTCCAATCATCCTGCTGGTGAGTCTTCCGCGGACCCCATTGCGAAGGGGTCGGAGGCGGCCAAGACAGATGTGCAGGCAGGCGGGGAATCGCTCCCCCCACGGCACCCTCCATCGAGGCTGCAGTCGTGAACACCAAAGACGCGGAGGTTTGTGGGACCGATCCCGAGTCCCCCTCCGTGTTAGGAAGATTTCCCTCAATTCCGCTCATGATCTTGCCAGATTCGGAACGATAGGAAAAAGGGAGTTCTAACAATATGTTGGATCCCCAAGCATCGAGAATAAATCCACGTTTTCAAGAAAAGCAAAATTTATTTCAAAGCGTTGAAGACATACTCAAACACGTTCTTTGTTAGAACTGGGGATACACAGTTAGGGCAAGCATAATAAAGGAACTTCAAATAGATACAGGTCCAATGAACAGCTTTCCCGCTGGCGGGCTAATGAAACAGTTGCGCGCCCAGTCTATGGGAACCAGGCAGAGCATTAGACAAAACACAGGTGCAATACTCATGGGAAAAGCAATAGCCAAGCATTACAGCATCTTCTCCCCCACACAACCTCCAGCAGTTATCTTTTGCATTCCAACGCAGGAGCAGGATGATAGAAACCAAGCCGGGTGCAACAGGGAAGGATATGTACACAGAGGTCACAGAAAACAGAATGGCAGCTTGCTGACATTGGGATTGGAATACTGAACTAACCTCTCCGTGGGATGGGGTTGAACTTTAAGATTCAGGCTCGCAGTTTTTCTGTGTTACTAGATCCAGTGCTGGATCTTTAGATAGTGGCGAGGAATATATTGTACTAATTTAAGCTTTTTTTGTCAAGTTACACCCATTCCTGGAGAGAAATGAGCAATTTGTGCTTTAGTTGTATTCATGTTGGACTGCTGTAACAAGCTCTACATGGAGCTGCTTTGGAAGAGTGTTGTGTAGTCTTATGCCTGGTTACCTGCATGCTATGATCTGCTGAGTAGCCCTCGTTGGGGAGGGGAATGGTGTTTCTCAGTGAAATGTGCCAAGGTTGCAGAATTCTTTTACCCCAGGAGACCCCTCTTACAGCCTCTCTGATTGCATTCCAGGACTCTGGTGTCAGCAGGAGAACATTTAGGCTCCTTAGATAAAGATATTCAGTGCTACTGATTTCCTGCTTATCCCTGGTCTTGTTTTTTATTGGTGTTGCAGCTCTTCTTCTGATTTGCTGTCTTAAGAGTTTTCTTCTTTAAACTGTTGTGTAATTTTTCTGTGTAGGCTTTAATTGTTACATTTGTTTTGTTTTCAGTCTTTCATTTTGATTAGACAACCTTCGGATGCATTTGAGCAGAATATAAATATTTAAATAAATATTTGTTTAGAGAACATCATTTCTGGGATATGATCCATATTAAATGACAAGAAAGGGCTTTCTTTGTGGTGCCTGCCCATTGCAGATTAGGATTAAAATCAGTGCTCCTATACAGAGCGTAATCAGAACTTTCTCTATAAGGTCTCACAATTATAAACTTTTTACATTGTTTCACAGATGTTTTCTGTAATATTGTCTAGATTATGTAAATCTTTTCAGAATGCTTTCAAGGGAGGCAGAGGTATTTTAAACTGAACAGTGTTTGTTGTAGGTTCAGTATCTTTGAATGAGTACTAGTAGTGCTCAGAAAAGCAGGATGGTTTATGGTAAAAACACCCCAAATTCATGAAACCGAGGTAATTTGATTCCCCTCTCTTTTCCCTCCTACAGGAAAATGTATCTAAGCAGGCGGGGAAGAACAAAAGAACAAGGAAAGACAAGAAGAAAACTGAATGCTAATTCATTTATAAAAATGTACTTTGACCTATTTGGACTTGGTTAAATAGAGCTGTTCAGTTGCTGAAAGGAACTTCTGAATCAAAAATATTTCCTGTTGCTACAAAATATTTCCTTATTGAGAAAGATTTGGCAGCAGACTCAGAAAACCTTTTCAAATTTGCTCAAGACTGAACTCTTAAGCAAATGTGCTTTCCTGAAAATTCTGTTATATTAATTGAAGAATCATTAAACCAGACGTGTTGTAGATTCCTTATTGTCTCCTCATCCTTAGTGGATCTATGATGACATAGGGTGGAAGTCTGTACTGGGCTTTTGGTTCCCAGTTCTCTGATTTGTAGTGGTCTGTGCTGTTGCCAGGTGGGCAAACTAGTTCTTACAGTTAATATTTTTAACAACATATAACTTGTTACTGTTGAAAATAGTGGAATGTAAAATTAGTTAACTCTGAATTGTATACTTTTAACTGATTCAAATCTGTACTTTTACAAAGATGAATGAAAGAAGCAGGGCGGGTCAATACCTTCTTTTGTATTCTGTTCAATGTTATCATTTTATTTCACCTCACCAGACCCAAAACATCAACAGCCACTGGTAAAGACAAGATCTGGTGCCAGGACAGTACAGGATGGAGGAGGAGTCATATGCCTGAGGACAGAATGGAATTGAAAGCTTTCAAAAATATGATTACATTCGTTCTTCACCATTTTATCAATGAACTTTTTAAAAGCTCTGATTTTTTAAAATATTGTTCAGTATCTTAGAACTCTGAGTGTGGAAGGCATAGTTTTCCTGCATTCTCTTCCGTTGCTGTGGCTTTTTCTGTCCCCTGGAAGGATCAGTACTGGCATTGCGGGTCCAGTATGGAGGAGTATCTGTGTGTACCGGGAACCCTGGAGTGAGGAAGGGCAAGAAGTCAAAACTGATCTTCCTTCCTGTTCCACAAGCACAGCTCTGCTGAGGGGAGGGGACAGTTTTATTCCCTTGTCTGTTTTTGCTCCAGTCTGTGTATCCTTGTGGCTGTTCTCTGCAATCCTGCACCCCAGGAATGGTCTTTCTGGGGGCTGAGAGAAGTTGCAGCAGTGGAGAACATGGGAAAACTGTCTGCTTTGTACACACAGATAGCAGCACATTGTCCAGTATTGTCATTTAACAAGTGGAGGGACCCACAAGGACTCATGGGGGCATCTTATTCCCCTCACACTATTCTTTCCCATTCCTGAAATCCCCAACAGCCTCCCCTTTTTCTGCTTCCTTCTCCCCTTCCCACCCACCAGCCTACTTACCTTTGTCTGCCCCATCTTCAGCTTTCCCTCCTTTCTTACCCTTTGCAGCTTTTGCCTGGGAAAACTATGGCCCAGTTGAGTGATGCAGGCTGCAGGGTTGGGCCCACTTGTATTGTGCCAAACCCACAAGGTACGTCATTTCCCCATGTCCTCTTTCCTACACATTTTCTTTCCCTCCTCCTGGCAAACCCCCACATCCTCACCTGTCTTTTTTTTTTTTTAGAGAAGCCAGTGTTGGATCAGGCCAAAGGCCCATCCAGTCCAACACTCTGTATCCCACAGTGACCAGAAATACCAGTGCCATCAGGAGGTCCACCAGTGGGGCCAGGACATTAGAAGCCCTCCCACTGTTGACCCCCCCCAAGCACCAAGAAGACAGAGCATCACTTGCCCCAGAGCCCCTAGCTATACCTTGTGGCTAATAGCCACTGATGGACCTCTGCTCCATATGCTTATCTAATTCCCTTTTGAAGCCGTCCATGCTTGTAGCACCCACCACTTCCTGTGGCAGTGAATTCCATGTGTTAATCACTCTTTGGGTGAAGAAGTACTTCCTTTTATCCGTTCTAACCCGACCGCTCTGCAGTTTCATGGAGTGCCCACGAGTTCTTGTATTGTGAGAAAGGGAGAAAAGTACCTCTTTCTCTACCTGCTCTTTCCCATGCATAATCTTATAAACCTCGATCATGTCACCCCTCAGTCGTCTTTTCTCCAAGCTAAAGAGCCCTAAGCGCTTTAACCTTTCCTCATAGGGAAAGTGTTCCAACCCTTTTATCATTCGAGTTGCCCTTTTCTGCACTTTTTCCAAAGCTATAATATCCTTTTTAAGGTGTGGTGCCCAGAACTGCACACAGTATTCCAAATGAGGTCTCACCATTGATTTATATAGGGGCATTATTATATTGGCTGATCTGTTTTCAATACCCTTCCTAATAATCCCCAGCATAGCATTGGCCTTCTTTATTGCAGTCACACACTGTCTCGACATTTTCAGTGAGTTATCCACTACAACTCCAAGATCTCTCTCTTGCTCAGTCTCTGCCAGTTCAGACCCCATCAATGTGTATTTATATTTAGGATTTTTGTCCTTGCTTCCTTCTCTCCTTCCTACTCACCAAACAACCTACCATTTATCTTCCCCCATCTTCAGCTATATTTGTTATTTACTTCATTCATATCCTGCCTTTCTTTACAATGGGAATCCAAAACAGCTCACACTAACCTCTTCTCTTTTTTATCCTAACAGCAACCCTGTGAAGTAAGTTAGGCTGGGAATATGTAACTGGCCCAGGGTCATCCAGTGAACACCATGGCACAGTGGGGATTTGAACTGGTGTTTTCCAGATTCTAATCTAAAATTATAAGCACTACAGCAGATGGGTTTTCATGGGGTAGCAGCTTTTGAACAGCAGTAATCAAGTGGTTGGTGGAGCTGCGGTAGCTCAAGTGGTTAAGACGCTGAACTGCAGGCTGTGGAAGGTCAGTCGTTCAGCAGTTCGAGACCCGGGTGCCGCATGATGGAGTGAGCTCCCATCTCTAGTTCCAGCTCCTGCCAACCTAGCAGTTCGAAAGCAAGAAATTGCAAGTAGATAAATAGGTACCACTTCGGTGGGAAGGTAACAGCGTTCCGTGCGCCTTGGTATTTAGTCATGCCGGCTACATGACCACGGAAACGTCTTCGGACAGCGCTGGCTCTTCGGCTTTGAAACGGAGATGAGCACCGCAACCCTAGAGTCAGATTCGACTGGCTTTCGAGCAAGGGAACCTTTACCTTTTAATCAAGTGGTTAAGACGCTGAACTGCAGGCTGTGGAAGGTCAGTAGTTTAGCAGTTCGAGACCCGAGTTGCCGCATGATGGAGTGAGCTCCCATCTCTAGTTCCAGCTCCTGCCAACCTAGCAGTTCGAAAGCAAGAAATTGCAAGTAGATAAATAGGTACCACTTCGGTGGGAAGGTAACAGCGTTCCGCGCGCCTTGGTATTTAGTCATGCCGGCCACATGACCACGGAAACATCTTCGGACAGCGCTGGCTCTTCGTCTTTGAAATGGAGATGAGCACCGCAACCCTAAAGTCGGATTCGACTGGCTTTCGAGCAAGGGAACCTTTACCTTTTTAATCAAGATTAGTCATGCAGGTTGGGTGGTAGTACATTTTTTGGTAGTTGCCACCAGGCAAGGCCCCAATTATTTTGTCTTCAAAGGCCCAAACAGCCCTGGGAAAGTCCTGTCCCTTCACTCTGCCTTTTACTGACAAATCAAGGCTTGAAGTCTGGCAATACTGTTGTGGTTGTGTAGCAACTGTCCCATGAAGCCATTCATTTCTTAAAGCTACAGGTGCTACTTCTGTTATTTTGTGGGCTTTTAATCCCCAATGTATTTTTTTCTGCAAACCTGAGCTATTTTCAGGTTTGTAAAAAATCTGGCTTGTCTATTCAAGCCTCCCATCTTGTATTTAATAGGGCCATGTTGAGAGTTAGACATATTGATGCCATCAAATGGAAATCCTGTGTTGATCTTGTGAACTTTTTTCCCTTTCAAGTCTAACACATTATCCTATTGGAGAAAAATCCTAGTAAGTTTTCTCTTATGTTAAAAATATTTCTTATTTTTTTCTGCGTACCAGAGGATAGACTTTAAACACAAAGAAACTCCTTGCTGCTTTCTGTTCATCAGAACTGTTAAATACAGTTAAGTTGCAAAGCTGGGGTGAAAAATGTCTTGATAATGTGCTGATTTTCTATATTCTTCCAAGCTGATGAGAATTTATTTGCTATTTGGAGATATTATATTTTTAAGTTACTATTTGAATAAATTGCACTCTGCTTTGATGACTGAAATATATTTCCAACTGAAATAGAAGTGTGAGGAAATTGGATTCTTTTGAGAACTGTTTTTTTCCTTATGGATTACATAATGTACCAACCCTGCTGTTGGGTTATCACCAGAGAAAAAATGGCAGAATGTAAGCTGCTATTTCTTGACTTAATTATATCACATGTAGGGATGGGCACGAACTGGGAAAATGCGGTTCAGTTGGTGGTTCGTGGTGTGCCTGGTTGGTGAACCACGAACCATCACAAACTTTTAGCCGCCAGACAAACCAGTTCAGTTCATGACACAGTAGAATGGACCCCTGGGGTGGTAGGGACACCAAACTCACAGGGGATCTCTGGCTGTCTCTCTTCTACCTGCTGTCCCAAGTTTGGTGAGGAGTGGATGTACGGGGTCCAAGTTATGCCCCCCCCAAGAAGGTGCCCCCAGGAAAGTGCTTTTTGGGGAAATTACAGGTGCAGGTTCAGGTGTGCATAGAACGGACCCTGTGCAAGCTGGAGACATCAAACTTGCAGGATACCTCCTCCTGATGCTGTTCTCCATGCCCTTAAAGGTATATGCAGATTGGACTTGGGGGATCCGAGTTATGACCCCCCTAAGAAGATGCCCCCCAAAAGTGCTTTTGGGGGGAAATGTCAGGCACAGGTTCAAAAGTGCAAGCTACAGACATTAAACACACAGGGAACCTATTGGTGTTTCCGAGGCTGGAGAATTCCACCCCTCCCATTGCTTTGAAGTTGCTTTAAAGATTGGTAAACATTTTGTTTGAGCAAAGGCAGTCTGTCTGCAAATGTATCCATTCACGAGCCACCACAAACTACATGAATGTTCATGGCAAGTTCGTGCCAGTTGATCTGCCACGAACTTCGGTTTGTGAACCACAAACCAGCCAGAATTCGTCAGGAAATTTAGTTTGTTCGCAAGTTTGTGCCCATCCCTAATTACATACACATTTACCTATGGGTGGTAAAGTCTCCTTACTGTGCATTTTATTTTTCCTTTCATTAAAAAAAAAATTTATGATCCAATTCTTCAAAGTGATATTGAATGGGGTCCATTAGATTTTTTAAATTTATGGCACATTTGCCAAAATCCAAGAAAAGCTATTTTGATAGCCATTAACTGTGCAAGGATAAACAGCCTCTGACAGTAACTCCATTTTAAAAACCATTAAAAGATTCTTTTTAATTTTGTTCTTGACATTGAATAGTGTAAATCTTTTCTCGTCATTGAAAGAAAAATACTTCTGTATGGAGTATTGGAAGGATCAATACTGGATGGAGTAGAAAATGTATCCTGCAAAGCATATTGCAAAGCAGTTACATTTTGGAGTTCTAGTACTTGTGAAAGTGGAAGATATTGTAATGGATGGTAAGTGACCATCTTCTGTTCCACACATTACAAAGACCTTGTATTTGTTAGAGGACGACATGAGGACTTTGCATCAGATGTGATGGGACTTTTGTCTCTCCCACACACTTACCAGCTTTTTTATGCTTGTGACCAAAACAGGTAGAGAGAAGCCGCTTTAGCTTCTCCTTCCTGCATTTTGCAAACCACCCTTACATGAAGCCACACATGTGGCAGTTGTGAGGGAGAGGCTAAAACTGCTTCTCCCTACTTGCTGTGGTCATAAACAGAAAAAAGCTGGGGTGTGTTTGGGAGGCACAAAACTCCCATTGCATGTCTGATGTCCTCGTGGTGTTCCCCCAACAAACACAAAGACTTATAATTTGCAGAAAAGCATTTAATCAGAATTCCGTGAATGTGTATGGGGGAATAGTTTGTAGCTGGAATGAAGCTAAGCGAGAGAGAGATCTGATCTTCCCAGTACTTGGCTTACCAAAAAAAAAAAAAAAAAAAAAGCCATTGTAGTAGGCAATTCCAGTGGCACCCCACTCTCTTATCCAAACATAAACTGGCATGGCATTTCCCCCAGAGATTTATTGACTCCTTAAATGGTTGTCATTTCCTGCCATATGCTTATTGTCAAGTTGTAGCCTGTCCCCATGCAGATGACTTGTCATATTTACCCTATCATATAGAAATGAATTGTCATGAACCAGATGCTCCTTAACGTTTGTCAGCTTTCTTTTTTTAAAACATTTTTATTGCTTTTATCTCTACACACTACAGGAAATAGGGGTAAGGAATCTTCTAAACTAAAATATAAAGT